ACACGCTTGGAATACCACACACACACACACACACACACACACACACTGAGATGTTAGCTTTGGTTTTGCCACACACGTAGAGCATCGACTGAACTCTGTGACTCAATAACTCGATGTGAATCACTTGGTTGGAGAATATTAGGGGTCGAAGTCACACACACACACACACACACACACACACACACAGACAGTCTGGTGCGCCACCCATGGCACTTGAATCCCGGTGACTGTGGAGTGTGGACTCCCTCTTGTCGTGGCCTTTGTGGTCTTTTGGATGTTCAGTGGTGGGATTAAACCCTCTCGCCACCCGAAGCACATGTTTGATGCCTCGTCTTACTTTAGCTCTTTTTGTCCATCTTGAATCGGAAGAACGCAAACACACCTCATCACCAGAAAGCCCTCTCGAATGGACTACACTTTCGCTCTGTTTGTTTTCCTCTGTGTTAGCTGAAACCCCACGTTCCATGCAGAAATCCTTAAGTATGACACATCTGCCATTTCCATAGATACGTTTTTGATTTGATGTGTATTTGTTGCTTCCAAAAATTAAAATAAATGTTGTGTAGATGTAATGTCTATTCTGGTTTGGTCAAGATGGACGTAAAAAACTAGAATTTTACAGTTTCGGGTAAAAAAAACAAAACAAATGGTGTTTGCCCAAGCAAAACTAGCCGCCAAGATCTTATAGGTTGCCAGAGCATTGCTATTTGGTTGCCAGTAGAGATAGACCAATTTATCGGTTTTGCCGATTAATCGGCACCGATAGTTGATTGCTGGAACTATTGGCTATCACCAAAAATCCATCCGGGTTGTGTCCATAGCTAGAGCGGCTGAGAAGGGTCTGCTGTCATTATATACAGCATCAGAGCAGCCTCTAGAGGCAGAAATCACTGACACCTCATGCTGTTTGTTTTGACACGTGACACTGTGTGCTGCACAGTGTGGGAAAATTCAGATGCGGATTTAAATGCAGCTAACAGAAAATCCTGTTGCACCACAGAGCACCATTCACACAGTTTTCCAATAAGTTACATTAAATTTGTTCCCAGATAGTTGTTAATGTACATAAAGACTTCACCCTGGGCTGTAAGATTGTGTATTTCAGTGAAACGATTGTCTTTCCGTGGTTCTAATAAAGGCTGTATGCTTAATTTATAGAGCTATAATATAGATCGTGCGCTCTCTTTCTGTTTGCTCTTTTTTTTAAACACCAAACTTCAAACTCATATATGCTACATTGTTCATTCTGGAAGTAAACCTTTGCCCGTTTGGTGATTAAATCAACTGTTTTAGACTGCCACTTGAATTGAATGCAATGCGTCCGGTGTGTGATACCTGTGATTTGTCCTAGACGCAACGCTGCGCTTTTGCCTGGTGTGTGACTAACATATTTTGTTATTTTGATTAGATGATCATCAAGTGTTCTAAAATAGAAGCAAATAAAGTGTGAGAGTACACATACAATATCTATACGTAATAGCTATGGCTTTTGTGTAGATATTTAAAGATAGACATCTTTAGCATGACTGCTGAAATTAAATGGTAACACTTTACAATAAGAGTCCATTTGCAACATTAAGATAAATGAAAGCTGTATAAGTATTGTTCCTTATCAGAGTGTGTTAATTTAAACATTTGCTATCACTAATACATTTTTAAATTTTAAAGTTAACATTAGTTATTAAACTATAAACTAACTTTAATGATCCGTATAATAATTTATATTAATATTTTTATTCATTTACAAAAGTATGGTTTAATACTGTTTTTTTTTTTAAATAGTAGAGCACTATTTTAGTTTTCGTTCAGTATCCATTTTAAAAACTATTGGTTGATTAATCGGTATCGGCATCAGTGTGGTCCAACCTAGCTATCGGTATCGGTAAAATCTACTATCGGTCGACTTCTAGCTGCCAGTGTGTTCTGTATGTTTTTAGCCCATTTCTTTACAGTTTCTAAGATGTGTTTTTAAATGTGTTGCTATAGTACTCTAAGAGCAATGGTTGTTAGGGTGTTCTGGGAGGTTGCTAGGTGTTGTCTCTTTTATCACATCTTTGCAAACATTACTAAAAATGACGAATGTGAATCCCAAACTCTGTTTTTCTCTTAGGTTACGGTGACTACGATAGGCTATGGAGACAAAGTCCCTCAGACGTGGATTGGGAAGGCCATCGCCTCCTGTTTTAGCGTGTTCGCGATCTCCTTCTTTGCTCTGCCTGCGGTAAACACACTGACTCCTGTCTTTCTCTTTGCGTGCACACACACACACGCACACACTTTCTCTGAGCTTGTCTGGCGCCCCAGGGCAGTGTTTTCCTATAGAGGCCCTCTAGTAGTGGGGTCCAGGGTTAATGTGGTCCATTTAAGAGTGATAGGGACTCCAGGGGCCTCAGGGGCCTGCGGTCCTCATGTTACACATTATATAACATGCATCTGCAACATTAGTATCAAGCACAATTGACAAATCAGAGCTACTGCAGTTCATAAAATTTTAATTCTTTAATTTAAAATATATAAAAATACATATTTAGAATATACATAATTTCAAATATAATTTACAATTCATATAAATACATTTATTTTTGAATTTATACATTTATTATATAAATGATAATAGAAGAAAGATTATATATAATTATATTAAATTCCAAATTATATCGTTTTAAATTAATGTGTAATAAATTAATATAAAGTAAATAATGTTTAATATAAGTATAATGTAAAATATAAATGTATTTATGTTTTATTGTGCTTTTTATTTGGCCTATATGATTCATTCACATTTTGTAGCAGCACTAAAGTAATTTTAATAATAAAACAATGAAATGCATGCTATAAGTTTGAGTTTTTCCATGTAGTTTATTTATTTTGTGGTAGCTGAACATTTAAACTGTCTTCCTCTGTTTGCAGGGCATTCTGGGATCTGGTTTTGCTCTTAAAGTCCAGCAGAAACAGAGGCAGAAACATTTTAACCGGCAGATTCCAGCCGCAGCCTCTCTAATACAGGTGACAAAAGACAGCTAAAGCTACGGCCACAACACAATGAACATTTCCTCCTTAACATACCATAAATAACTCTGTCCCACGTTCAGACGCTGTGGAGATGCTACGCCTGCGAGAAGTCCGACGGCTGTACGGCCACGTGGAAGATGTACGTGCTGACGGGTGACTACACCCCCATCATAAACTCGGAAAACTCCAGCCCGGGCAACTTCAGACGGCTGGTGAGGAGAAACGCTCCCTGCTCCCTCCCTCGTCTGCAAACGGATATTTCTCTGTCTTGTCTTTCAAGTCCTTTGTGTTGTGTTTTTGGTCATTGTCATGTTCCTTCCTGTCAATTGTCCCGATTGAGCCTCCGTAGTGGGCCACTGCAAAGCGCAGACAGTAAAAGCATTTTTCTAGAGGGGTTATTGTGTGTTAAGTCCTTTCTATAGGCTCATGTGAGTTCCCAGAACACATGCAAAGGTCTCTGAGGGTAAACAGTAGCGGGTGTGAGGGGTGTTTTAAATGAATTTAGATTAATGTTGGGAAGTAGCTAAGTAAAAATAGCGAGACTATAACCTGACTATTTTTTTTTGTAGCACGACATTAGCTTTTCCAGTAACTTTCCACATGGCTACCTTGCTGTATTTTTTTTTTGCAATTTTTCACAATTTTTACTGTAAAGTGTTAGAGAAATAGTTCATTCGGATGGTTCTGAACTGTGTCAAATTACAGAAGTAAAATGAGTTGTGATGCCTCATTTTGACTTCAACTGCATATTTAGTAGTGTGTCACAAGCTCGGCTGTTTTCAGAGCTTTCCCAGCTTTTACAAAGATCTTTTTCCAACAAAGTAGTGGCGTAGCCAAACATGCTATTCTAGAATGTAGTGTTGTGAAGATTCATTTATTTTACTGAATCAGTTAATGTAAGTGAACTGATTCAGAAAACGATTCGCTGATTCTTTTGAGTCATTTCCTGTGCAGCATTTTATACCTTCTTTATTACAGCAAAATATCTATTTAAATGCTGCTTTTAGTCACTAAATTTTTGTCTTTTGGGCATTTTTGAGTTTGCGATCATTTATTTATGAACAAAATTCAGCAAGGATGCATTCAGTTGTTAAAAAGTGACAGTAAAGACATTTATAATGTAACAAAAAAGATTTCTATTTAAAAAAAAGAATTCTGAAAAAAAAAAAAATCCACCAAAAATATTAAGCTGCACTTAATATTCTTTTAACATTAATAATAAGAAGAAATTGAGTAATGGCTGCTGAAAATTCAGCTTTGCCATCACAGGAATAAATTATATTTAAACTTAAACTTACATTTTTTAATTTATTAAATAAATACGTTTAAAAAAAATGCATTCTTGGTGAGCATAAGACAAGGCATAAGAAAAAATTCACTGACCTCCAAAAAATTACTGACCCCAAACTTTTGAATGGTAATGACTATAAGGGTGTTTGTAATTTTATTCGTTGTATTTAGTGTAAATGTATCCGGTTTAGTTTAGAGTCAACTTGAAATTACATTCGCAACTCATTTTACTTACATAATGACACATCTGTGATATTCAACATCAAAATGTAGGATGAGACTTGATATTATTAATGGGAAATCAATTGTATGATAATTGTAAAGTGTCTCTATGACAGACGTAAATAAATATGAGGAAGTGAAAACATAAATGTAAGCATTTCTTTAGGTTTTATTAGTTGTTAAATATTTGATCATGTATTAAGCATGGTAAATTTTTATTAGTAGCCTGTAGTGTAACTGTATTTTCTCTCTTTACCAAACAGAAGCTTGCTCGTCATTTAACAAGTTCAGATGATGATAAACTTCCCCGAGACAGCGTTCGATTGACTTCCATTCACGGCGAGTGTGTGTTTGACATGGATCCAGAAGGTTTTTGCCATTCAACGTTTTAATTAACGCCGCTGTGTGCGGTGGATTTCACAGGGCTTTTCTGAAGAGAACCCAGGTCAGGATGTAGGTTTAGGTGTGAGAAGCGCAGCGAGAAAGACCTGATGTCATGGGACGGAGTCATTTCTCTCCGCTCGCCCCCTCTTTGTCTGCCGCGCACAAAGGCGCAGTCAAATGCGATTATGTCATCGCAGCCGCTCTCCTGGGAGCAAAACCTTTGTGTAGCGCAACAACAACAAAAAAATCTTTGTGTAGCTCTGACTCCAAACGTATTGGGCAGCGCGACGGCCCGTGTGACTGTTCTCCTTCATAAACCTCTCATTCAGGACTGCCGGATTCATTTCCCCCCCGCAGCAGTTATTCAGGCCAGTGGGAAGCCGTGATTTTTTTCACGCCGCGCTGTGACGTGACTAATGTTTCACTCACTTGTGTAGGTTGCGCAGTCACCGCAGAATTCATTAATTCACAAAATGCATATTCTCCAAAAAAGGGCAAATTTGAATTTCATATCTGCGGGATTTTGACGTGTCGTTTTCCCGTAAGCCTTATTGGCGTTTCTTGGGAAGAAACAAAGAGTTTCTTGGAGCTGCTGTTTATCAGATTGCATTTGAGATTAAATGTGACTTTGTTTTGGGATTTAGGACTCGTACGTCACAACTTGAGGAATTCTGAATTTCTCTTTGTGAAATTATTTGAATGAGCTTCCAATAATGCATAATGGCGAGTAAATCGTCATTTACTCACTGTCATGTCGTTCCAAACTTGTATGGTTTTTCGTAAAACACTTTTGATGAGTATTTGCCATTGTTTTTCATATGAAAATGACATACACTACCAGTCAAAAGTTTGGAATAATTGAGTTTTTTTTTTCTGCTCATCAAGGCTGCATTTATTTGATTAAAAATGCAGTAAAAACAGTAAAATTGTAAAAAAAAACAAAAAAAAAACATTTCTGATTATTATCAATGTTGAAAACAGTTGTGCTGCTTCATATTTTTGTGGAAACCATTCTTTGATGAATAGGAAGTTCAAAAGAACAGCATTTATTTGAATTGTAAAAAAAATTGTAACATTATAAATCTTTACTGTCACTTGATCAACTTAATGTGTTTTTACTGAATAACATTATTAATTTATTTTCCTTTTTTATATTACTTACCCCAAACTTTTGAATGGTAGTGTATCAAGGTTTCCACTGAAGGAAGTATGAAACAGCACAACTGTTTTCAACATTGAAAACAATCATAAATGTTTCTTGAGCAGCAAATCAGCATATTAGAATGATTTCTGAAGGATCATGTGACACTGAAGACTGGAGTAATGATGCTGAAAATTCAGCTTTGATCACAGGAATAAATTGCATTTTAAACTATATTCAAATAGAAAACAGTTATTTGAATTGTAATAATATTTCAAATTTTTTCATTTTTTACTGTATTTTTGATCAAATAAATGCAGCCCTGATGAGCAGAAGAAACATCTTTAAAAAACAT